GAATGGTTCCAGCCTGGAGATCCTGAAATTGGGATGGGGACAGTGTCAGGAATATGAGTGATCCAGGAGAATTTTTGGGATGGTTCCATCCTGGAGATCCTGGGATCTGGGATGGGATCCCTGGCAGGAATATGAGTGATCCAGGAGAATTTTTGGGATGGTTCCACCCTGGAGATCCTGGTTTTGAGATGGGATCCCTGTCAGGAATATCCATGATCCAGGAGAATTTTTGGGATGGTTCCATCCTGCAGATCTTGAATTTTTGGGATTCAAACCCCCCTGGAAATGGTGATTCCTGCGGGATGGGTCGTTCCCATCCAGGGAATCTCCTCGGGAATGCGGGAATGGCTCTGCCACCCTCGGGAATCCCGAGTTTTCCTTTTTCCCTGGATTTTCCCGGCAGCACCATCAGCGACATCTCCGTCCTGAAGCTGAAGGTGGAGAAATGTTCCCGCCAGGATTCCGTCTTCATGAAGAAGGTAATCCCGGGATTTGGGAAAAGTTGGACCGAGGCCTCGGCATTCCCGGGCCTTGGAGCTCCGTGATGCCGCTAAAACCTGGGAATATCCCTGGAATTTCTATCCAGTAGGACAAGAGGGCTCTGCCTCCAGCTGGGCCAGGGGAGGGGCAGGTGGGATATCGGGAAGGATGGGAATTCCCCCTCCTCTCCCACATCCCAAATTATTCCCTCTCCTGTCCCACATCCCAACTATTCCCCCTCCTCTCCCACATCCCAACTATTCCCTTCCTATCCCACATCCCAATTATTCCCCCTCCTATCCCACATCTGAATTATTCCCCCTCCTATCCCACATCCCAACTATTCCCCCTCCTCTCCTGCATCCCAATTTATTCCTCTTCCTAACCCATATCCCAGTTATTCCCCCCTCCCATCCCACATTCCAAATTATTCCTCTTCCTATCCCACATCCCAATTTATTCCCCTTTCCAACCCACATCCCAACTATTCCTCTTCCTCTCCCACATCCCAACTATTCCCCCTGCTATCCCACATCCCAGTTTATTCCTCTTCCCAACCCACATCCCAATTATTCCTCCTCCTATCCCACATCTGAATTATTCCCTCTCCTAACCCACATTCCAAATTATTCCTCCTCCTCTCCCACATCCCAACTATTCCTCCTTCTATCCCACATCCCAATTATTCCCCCTCCACTCCCACATCCCAATTTATTCCTCTTCCTCTCCCACATCCCAGTTATTCCCCCTCCTCTCCCACATCCCAACTATTCCCCCTCCTATCCCACATCCCAATTTATTCCTCTTCCTAACCCACATCCCAATTATTCCCCCTCCCATCCCACATTCCAAATTATTCCCCCTCCTATCCCACATCCCATCTATTCCTCCTTCTATCCCACATCCCAACTATTCCCTGTCCTCTCCCACATCCCAACTATTCCCTCTCCCATCCCACATTCCAAATTATTCCTCTTCCCAACCCACATCCCAACTATTCCCCCTCCTGTCCCACATCCCAATTATTCCCCCTCCCAGCCCACATTCCAAATTATTCCTCCTCCTCTCCCACATCCCAACTATTCCTCCTTCTCTCCCACATCCCAAATTATTCCCTCTCCTCTCCCACATCCCAACTATTCCCCCTCCTCTCCTGCATCCCAATTTATTCCTCTTCCTAACCCATATCCCAGTTATTCCCCCTCCCATCCCACATTCCAAATTATTCCCCCACCTATCCCACATCCCAGTTATTCCCCCTCCTCTCCCACATCCCAACTATTCCCCATCCCAACCCACATCCCAATTATTCCTCCTCCTATCCCACATCCCAAATTATTCCCCCTCCTATCCCACATCCCAACTATTCCTCCTCCCATCCCACATCCCAGTTATTCCTCCTCCTCTCCCACATCCCAACTATTCCTCCTCCTCTCCACATCCCAATTTATTCCCCTTCCCAACCCACATCCCAATTATTCCTCCTCCTATTCCATATCCCAGCTATTCCCCCTCCTCTCCCACATCCCAAATTATTCCCCCTCCTCTCCCACATCCCAACTATTCCCCCTCCTCTCCCACATCCCAACTCTTCCCACCTCCCAGTGTTTCCCTTCTCCCAGGAAGCAGCAGCAGGACAAGGAGGGCTCGGCCTCCAGGGGGGAGATTCCGGTTGGATATCGGGAAGGAATTCTTTCCATGGATTGGGATCAGCCCTTGGAATGGGCTGCCCAGGGAAGGGGGTGGAGTCCCTTCCCTGGAGGTTTTTTGGGAATGAGCTTGGATGTGGCATCAGTGCCATGGGCTGGGGTTGGATCCAGGGTCGGATCCACGATCCCGGAGCTCTTTTCCAACCCCACTAATTCTGGGATTCCTGCAGGAAAACAGGATCTAAGTTTTTAGGATGAGGTTGGATGTGGCATCAGTGCCATGGGCTGGGGTTGGATCCAGGGTCGGATCCACGATCCCGGAGCT